TGTGTGTGTGTGTGTGTGTGTGTGTGTGTGTGTGACCTGGTATCTGTCCGAATGGTGGGCGTCTTCAGACGACAGGGGTGAGACAACAGGGGATTCTCCTTCACGCTTGATGTGCACTGACAGCAGCATGGACTGAAATGACAGAAAAAGAAGGAAAAARGTATTTTTCTATGCAGATGATATCATGTTATCACTTCTGTGGCAAATGCTCAACTGGCAATCGTTATATACGATAATATTGAGCAAAAAATTAAAAAAAAAGATAACACTGGTGCATGCTGTCTCATACACTTTAGTTTCAGTATTACCTGARTGGTTGACATAACATTGTTTCTTGTGTAAGTAAAAAGCCCACGTGTTCATAATTTGGGCAACTATGTGACTTGCCTTAATGTTAAACAAAACCCACTATTACCTTCTTCATGCCCTTCCTTCACAAAATGCTCAGTGTGCTCTGATTAGTCAGAAAACTGTTAGAAAATGATGGATGACAGGGCAGCTACTTTTTTACTCTTGTTTCAAGTAATCCAAACGTTTCATGTTGATGTAGATAAGTGAGAGGGAACAAGCCTGAACAACAAATGTGTCTGGGGTCAATTGAGCTGAAAGTTTCAACTTGCATTGAAAGAAATTAGTGCCTAGTTGATTCTATAAACTGCTGGAGAAAAAAAAAAACAGGAAAATTTCTTAATTGCAAAGATCATGACTTGATTAAAGAAAAGAAAAGTTTGAAGCATCAGATAAGCTGGAATACAGAGAATGCCAGTTGATGCATGGACAACAGAAGAAGCTAAATTTTTACGTTTAAGGAAGAAACTGTTCCAACTCACATCACTGCAAAAATAATCAAAAAGTCAGATTATTTATTCAATATTTAAAAGTTAATATATCTATTAGAACTGATTTACTACACAGAAAAACAGACTTGGAATTATTACCCTTGGAGAATTTCAGCTTGCCACAGATGCTGAGTGCGACATGACACTGGTGATGAATGTAACCTGCCTGACTTTGTCTATAAAATCCTTTCCGCTGATTGGAGTTAATGTTTACGAGCACTAATATAAAATAATATCTTGTTTTGGTGAAGAATGCAGGAAATTTCTCAAGTGGCCATGGAAGAGTAGGGGTTAAAAAGACAAAAAAGCTAAGAGAACAGGGAAGAATAAAAAAAGAGGCAATATCACACTTTTACAAGACTTAGTCCTGACACAGTTGTAGCTCTCCATCTCGCTCTCTGTGTGTGTGCTTGTATTTTTATTTGTGCCGATGCGGCAGCTTTCCTTTTTTACAAGGCAGCTGTGAAATATTTGTCTTTACAGTCATCTCCTATTAATCAAGTGGAAAGGGGCAGAGCAGAGGCTTAAGTGCTCGACAGCAGTAATCTAATAATAATATGTGAGAAATGACCAACCTCCAGTGCTGCCATAGTAAATTGGACATTATGCATGGTGCTTTTCTGCCTGTATATATATGTGTGTGTAATCCCTTTCTCTTTTTTTTAATCCAGGTTTTATAAAGGTCAGGAATCCTGTACCTGGGGGCCGTTCTGCGGATATGCTTAAGTTTTATCATTAGAGAGTGACATTTAATGGTAATCTACAAAGAGGTTATTAAAAAGGTCTTCTTCAAAATTTGGGTTTTAAAGCTGGTAATTAAATCAACACTCAAAAGATCAGCAAAAAGAAGGACATTGTTTAAAGCCAGGTGATTTTCTGTTTCTACACCTCCTGGAACAAACAAAGCATGCATCATTTATAAGAAATGTTGGATAACCTGGTATAACATGAACCGATAATGACATCCTGATTTTACGTTTTTTCCTGAAAATCCAATTACTTTTTTCCTAGCAAGTGGTCCCGATAAAGACATAAATAGGTGTTTTGGGGTTAATCTCTGGTATAATGGGAGTGGGTGGTGCTTAGCGGTCAGAGGACCGACAGCAGCAGGTCCGTGTGCTTCAGACTGGCCCTCTCCATTCTCCATGGCCTGCTGCTGAATACTAAACAACAGCAGTAAGATGCACAGTCACGGGCGCAGTGGAAGGCTGGCACTCACCCCTCAACCCTCCTCTGTCTGTCTCCCTCAAGAACGAGCCCTCCCGCAGCGCTGCGAGTGCTCCTCTAAGCTCAGGTCAGCACCTACTGCTCAGGTGATGYAGAAGTGGGGGTGGGGGGGCACCTGATTTATTCCATAATCCTGGGTGAATTTATGTGCAAGTCAGATGTACTATGGTCACCCCACGCCTCTGTCTGACGCGGGGAAAGTCTTCTCCATCTCGCGGTATTTTACTTTAACCCCGAGATGTCATTAGAAGTGAGAACAAACATGGAAACTGTGACTGTCTGAAGTACTGGTAAAACTCTAAAGTCATTTCTTACTTTTTTGTATTTTGCTGCCAAGGAACCAGTGTTTCTTGTCATTTTTAATGTGATAATTATCATAATTTCTTCAGGATTTTAGAAGGTTTTTCAGTGTTTTTAACTGGACTTTGACTGTTTTCTCCCTCATTGTAATTATATATGAATCCATCCATCCATTTTCTTCCGCCTATCCGGGGTCGGGTCGCGGGGGCAGCAGCTTCAGAAGGGAGGCCCAGACCTCCCTCTCCCCAGCCACT